AGATGGCGTTTCACCATGGGTTCTGAGAGAATGTGCATCTGAGCTCAGCATTCCACTTCACCTGATCTTTCAGGCATCCCTGTGTACAGGAATCGTAGCAGACGTGTGGAAACAGGCTAACATAGTTCCAATCTACAAAAGTGGCAGCAGGGAAGAACCCCTCAATTATAGACCTGTATCATTAACAAGTGTAATAGTGAAAGTATTGGAAAAACTAATCAAAACTAAATGGGTAGAACACCTAGAGAGAAATGATATAATATCAGACAGACAGTATGGTTTTCGATCTGGAAGATCCTGTGTATCAAATTTACTCAGTTTCTATGATCGAGCCACAGAGATATTACAGGAAAGAGATGGTTGGGTTGACTGCATCTATCTGGACCTAAAAAAGGCTTTCGACAGAGCTCCACATAAGAGGTTGTTCTGGAAACTGGAAAATATTGGAGGGGTGACAGGTGAGCTTCTATCATGGATGAAAAATTTTCTGACTGATAGAAAAATGAGGGCAGTAATCAGAGGCAATGTATCAGAATGGAGAAATGTCACAAGTGGAGTACCACAGGGATCAGTTCTTGCACCAGTGATGTTTATTGAGTGGAGTACCACAGGGATCAGTTCTTGCACCAGTGATGTTTATTGTGTACATAAATGATCTACCAGTTGGTATACAGAATTATATGAACCTGTTTGCTGATGATGCTAAGATAATAGGAAGGATAAGAAATTTAGATGATTGTCATGCCCTTTAAGAAGACCTGGACAAAATAAGTATATGGAGCACCACTTGGCAAATTGAATTTAATGTTAATAAATGTCATGTTATAGAATGTGGAATAGGAGAACATAGACCCCACACAACCTATATATTATGTGAGAAATCTTTAAAGAATTCTGATAAAGAAAGAGATCTAGGGGTGGTTCTAGATAGAAAACTATCACCTGAGGACCACATAAAGAATATTGTGCAAGGAGCCTATGCTATGCTTTCTAACTTCAGAATTGCATTTAAATACATGGATGGCGATATACTAAAGAAATTGTTCATGACTTTTGTTAGGCCAAAGCTAGAATATGCAGCTGTTGTGTGGTGCCCATATCTTAAGAAGCACATCAACAAACTGGAAAAGGTGCAAAGTCATGCTACTAAGTGGCTCCCAGAAATGAAGGGTAAGAGCTACAAGGAGAGGTTAGAAGCATTAAACATGCCATAACTAGAAGACAGAAGAAAAAGAGGTGATATGATCACTACAAACAAAATAGTAACAGGAATTGATAAAATCGACAGGGAAGATTTCCTGAGACCTGGCACTTCAAGAACAAGAGGTCATAGATTAAACTAGCTAAACACAGATGCCGAAGAAATATAAGAAAATTCACCTTCGCAAATAGAGTGGTAGACGGTTGGAACAAGTTAAGTGAGAAGGTGGTGGAGGCCAAGACCGTCAGTAGTTTCAAAGCGTTATATGACAAAGAGTGCTGGGAAGACGGGACACCACGAGCGTAGCTCTCATCCTGTAACTACACTTAGGTAATTACACTTAGGTAATTACACACGAGTGGAGTACCTCAGGGTTCAATTCTTGCACCGGTAATGTTCATTGTCTACATAAACGATCTACCAGTTGGTATACAGAATTATATGAACATGTTTGCTGATGATGCTAAGATAATAGGAAGGATAAGAAACTTAGATGATTGTCATGCCCTTCAAGAAGACCTGGACAAAATAATTTCATAGAGCGCCACTTGGCAAACTGAATTTAATGTTAATAAATGCCATGTTATGGAATGTGGAATAGGAGAACATAGACCCCACACAACCTATATATTATGTGAGAAATCTTTAAAGAATTCTGATAAAGAAAGAGATCTAGGGGTGGTTCTAGATAGAAAACTATCACCTGAGGACCACATAAAGAATATTGTGCGAGGAGCCTATGCCACGCTTTCTAACTTCAGAACTGCTTTTAAATACATGGATGGCGATATACTAAAGAAATTGTTCACGACTTTTGTTAGGCCAAAGCTAGAATATGCAGCAGTTGTGTGGTGCCCATATCTTAAGAAGCACATCAACAAACTGGAAAAGGTGCAAAGACATGCTACTAAGTGGCTCCCAGAACTGAAGGGCAAGAGCTACGAGGAGAGGTTAGAGGCATTAAATATGTCAAAACTAGAAGACAGAAGAAAAAGAGGTGATATGATCACTACATACAAAATAGTAACAGGAATTGATAAAATCGATAGGGAAGATTTCTTGAGACCTGGAATGTTAAGAACAAGAGGTCATAGATATAAACTAGCTAAACACAGATGCCGAAGAAATATAAGAAAATTCACTTTCGCAAACAGAGTGGTAGACGGTTGGAACAAGTTAGGGGAGGTGGTGGTGGAGGCCAAGACCGTCAGTAGTTTCAAAGCGTTATATGACAAAGAGTGCTGGGAAGACGGGACACCACGAGCGTAGCTCTCATCCTGTAACTACACTTAGATAATTACACTTAGGTAATTACACAAACACGCCATGCGCAGTTTATGGGCTAAATAGCAGTTAGTTGAATCCCACAGCAGACCTCACTGATGAGAGCAAGTCCTCAACCTTTCGTTTGGTTGAAAGTTTCGTTTTACAGTGGCACCTTGACATACGATTGCCCCTACTTACGATAATTTCCAGTTACGATGTAAATTTCATCGAAAAATGCGACTCGACATCCGATGGTGTTGTCGACTTTCGATATTTGTTGGTACACGTTCGGGTCGACCAAGCGCATGGTTCCCGGTCACGCGGCCGACCTGCCTCAGTTTACTACAGCTGCCCGCTTAGTGACGATCGCGCCTATAAGAAATTCCGCTTTTGTGGTGATTTTTTGCATTTTGAACACTAAAGTAATTATTATATATCACGCCATGAGTCCCAGGAAAGTCAGTGGTAAGGCTCAACGTATGAAAACCCATGTAAGGATGGCCATATAGCAGCAACAAGAGTACAGAATGTCTCTTCCTCAACAATTAAGAAAATGTGTGCAGCATGGGAAGAATTGCAAACCTTTGCTGAAACGACTCGCTCAAATCAAGCTGCAGTAGGTCGTTGCCTTAACCTATTCAATGACACTGTGATGCATCATTACAGACAAATGTTAAAACGAAGGTAAAAACAAATGTCTCTTGACAAATTTGTAGTGAGACAAACAAGCACTGAACCACAACCAGGTCCTAGTGATATTCAGGCAAAACGTAAGAGAGAGAGTACCCCAGAGAAAACATCACTGCCTGATGTGATAATGGAAGGGGACTCCCCTTCTAAACAGTAACAACTCTCCTCCTCCCCCCTCATCACCATCTTCCATACGCCATCAAGAGCCCTCCATAAAGGTAAGAGAAACTTAGGTACTGTATTGTAGTTAGAAAAAAACATTGTATTCAGTATAAAATGTATTTGTATGTTAATATTTTGGAGGGTGGGGAACGGATTAATTCAATTCCCCTTATTTCTTATGGGAAAAATAGCTTCGACTTAGGATTTTTCGACTTACGATCTGTCTCTGGGAACGGATTAGCATCGTAAGTCGAGGGCCCCATTGTGCTTGGAAAGTTTAGTTCTTTTCGTTTGGTTTATCTCCAGGTAAACCTGGAAGCCTGAGGATTCAAAAGGCGTGACCACTGGGAAGGAGCCGAACTCCTCACCAGGTATCTGTGGTGAGGCAGAGAAAAAGCAAGCCAGCAACCATGGAAGATAACCCTGGCACATAGCTTGAGTGTTAGCTTGAGTGAAATTGTATAACAGTTCTTACAGAATGCATGGCACCTTGCTATTCAGCAAGTTCACAAGCACATTATACAGATGTCAGAATTTGTTAGTTGGCAAGTTTGCATCTATCATTAATTTATATTGCAGAATAAAACTGAGTTCAGTTTGTTTCATTGTTGGAGTGATGTACAATGAGAAAGAGTTAGAATGAATAAATTAGAGGCAGATATCACTTAAAAAGTGAGAAAATTTTATGCAGCAAGACCATTGATATTTACAAAGATGTAGGTAGCTGAACAAGTTTTTTACCAATCGCAAGATAGGTGATGAGTTACGTCACGACCAGTTGAGCCAATTGGAAACCATCCATGGTGTAGAGAGAATGAAGCAGTGTGGTGCCTATGACAGCAATACTGAGGGCACGTATACATTTTTTGAAGATATACAAGGTGGCTGGAATGTTGGACATATATGTAGGTCATTGCAGAGAGGGAGAATCAGAAGCCTCAGGATGCATGGCAGACAGTTCACCACTCTGAATGAGAGGAGTTTTAATGGCTAAATTTAGTGGGAGTTTAGTCAGGCCCTGGAGGAGTAGCCACCTTGGACCACATGGTGTCTAGTGAGGACAGGATGCTATCAAAGGATGTAAAGTAGCCAAGGGAAAAATCAGCATAACAGGTGATTATTTATAGCAATTTTGGTGCAGTTGATGACACTAGTTACATCTGCAGATGTAAGGCTTTTGGAGAAGCCCAGCCAGTCAATCTTGGAGGGAGTGAAGGAGTTTTGTGGGGAGTCTGGGTAACCAGTGACGATACACTGGCCTCAAGAATTTACTCTCCACATTTTCCATGCCATGACCATGAGGAGTATTTGGCTAATGGATACGAGGTAATGATTATAGCTGTGGTAGATTCAGTTATTATTTGTGCAGGTGAACACTGCCATCTGTTGGTGACTCAGATGTCAGTCAATTGTTAAATTAACACTAAACATACCATGTAAATAATAGAACACTGGTAAAAGTAGTCAAATGATAAAGGTAAGGTCCATGGTCATGCAATACAATAGAACCAAGGATTATTCTGCACAAAAGAACCATACTCAGAATGCTAGACTTGCAAGCAGTTACTGTATTAATACTATATTTTATATAATAAAATCACAAATCTGCAGTGGGCTTAGTCCTTACCAGTTACCAGTTTGGATTTACAATCTTCAACTGTATGTACATTAAGTTACTCACTTAGGAAGTGTATATTGAGCAGCTTTGATTTTGCGAAAGAGTTCCTGAGGAGACGCGTCATAAAATGGAAAGTGTCCATAGAGCATGGTGAACAACACCACACCTAAGGCCCACATATCAGATGGTTTACCTGGAAAAAAAAAAAACAGTGTTGAATGTAATGAAACGACATGGGTGAGCCCTGGAAGCTCCCCTGGAGGCTCCCTGGAGCTATCAGGCTAATATGCAATACACTACTTTAGACTAGGGCAATAGCCAATGGATTTCTGTCTACCAGGGACCACCAGCCAGAACCTGACCCCCTCAGAGAGGCACAGGGAGGAATGGCCCTGGAAAACTCCCAGGTTGGGGGTTTACCTTAACTACCATCGACTAGGGTTAGGCACCCAGAAAGTTAGGCATAACAAAACAGACCCCACATGGTAAGAAAATTACAGATAAAAACTGAAAATAGAGGCAGAACTCCCTCCAATCCCAAGGAACAAGCATACAAGCAAACATCACATCAGATTTCATGTGATGGGATATGAGCCCCCCCTCCTCCCAGGGAGGGCTCCTCCCCCCCCCCAGGGAGGGGGGGGGGAGCCCCGAAACTACTGCACCGACTACCCAACCTCCAAGGCTAAGCATTAAAAACAAAACGAAAATGCCGATTGGAGGGAGGAAGGGATGCCAGGGAGTCTCCAGGGCTCACCCAGTAAATTGCATTTCATTACATTCAACACTGGTTTTCTGTGGGAGCCCCTTCGGCTCCCTGAAGATAAGTATAAGAGGGACTTATCTGGGAGGATGCCACCACGCGCTCCTCAACTCAAAGACGAAACAACGGGCTGCAACCTGCAACCCAAGGTGACACAAGAACGAGCCGGACCAGGAACGTTTACCATATAATAGGCGGACAGGACCTTTTCGACCTGCAAATTCCCCGCACCCGAATAACAGCCCAAGACATGTTGCCAAAAATGACAGTCAACGCAGCAAACTTTCGAACATCATGGGCATGAGGATAGACTGCAGGCTGGCCAGACCAAATAACCCTGCAGATGACGTGGGAGACCCGAACCCTGAAATAGGGAACGAGGGAAACCAGGTCAAACTAAAGTGCATCCATGACCACAGAGGCCGAGGCATGCAGGTAAAGGCTAAGAGTCGCAACCGGACACAAGACATCATGCATCCCTAGACTGACCAACCAAGTATCAATGACAAAAGGATTCCTCCATAAAGCAGCCGTCTTGTTCTTCACCAGAAAAGGAGGAGAAGGCTGCAAACAAAGAAACCTACTAACCAGAGCGAAGGAGCAGAAAGCCCTGTGCCGGAGAACATGAAGCTCACCAACCTGACCCCCAGAGGCGAACACCAACAGAATGAGAGCCGTAGAAAAGCAATCCTGAACCGAAGGGGCCACAACAAACCGAGGAGGAGAGAGATAGGAGAGCACCCGGTCCAAGGACCAGGACAGATGAGTTGGCGCATGAGCAGGCCAGTGGTGAAATAAAGGACGAGAATGCTTACGGAAAGGGGCAGAAATGACATCCACCCCGAATGCAAGCTAATGAGGATCCGCCAGCACCACACGATACGAGGCAACAGTATTCGGCATCAAATGTCGGTCCTGAAAAAGCCAAGAAAGAAAGAACAAGACAACCCGATCAGAAATAGAAGACAACCTACGAAAAGAAGGGAAAATGGCGGAAAGAATGCCAAGAGACCTAATACTGTCACCGAGACAAAGCTCGCTGGTGGTACACTATCAAAGAAGCTACCTGATCACAATAGAGATGGTGATAGACCTGCGTGAAAAAGACCAGATGCAAAGAGCTGAAGAGAAGATCAAACCAGCCGTGTACGGCCAGGGACCAGGGACACTATCCAGGCACCCGACTAACAGAAGCCGGACCCGAGACAGAGTGGTCATCCGAAAAGAGGGGAGAGGAATCCAGGGCTTCAGAAAGGACAAGTCCAGAATGAACCGCAGATCCGCACAGTCCCTTTTCAGTACTGGAAACAGGCAGGAAACCCACCACAGGGACGAGGTTGTTTCGACCACGCCCAAGCGCACCCATTCCAAGATGACCCGATGGAGTGCAGAGGAAGAATCCTGCCCCCTCCAGCCCTGCCAGCCCCGAAACTCTTGAAGGAGGGGATGGTTATAGATAGGAGCTGCCTCGTATAGGCCAATAGGCCTTCTGCAGTTACCTTTGTTCTTATGTTCTTAATTACCACGTAACATGGTGGAGGTGGGGGTCCCTCGATTGTTTCAAACATGGGTTGGACATGCATATCCAACCAACCACCGCCCACCACAGGCTGGAGGAGACGACCAGAAATGCCCACGAATCGTGGGACCAGGTGTAGGAAAACAGAGCGAGCCTCCAGACAATCGCCCCATGAACGAAGCAACCCACGAAAGGGCTGACGCCCCTTACAAGAAGGCAGCCAAAGATCAGAGCAATCATTGCGCCGACCAGACGACGCCAGCTCTGAAGGAAGTACCTGCTCAGAAATGAGCACCAAAGGCCCACCTCGAATTGCGGAACCCCGAACCCCTGGCATGACCCTTCCAAGAAGGCCGAGAACAGCCACTCCAGAGAACTAACAAGTCCGACTTAGGATAACAACTAGACAAAGCCGACTGCAGAAACTGCATGACTGCAGACTCCGTAAACAGCAACGGACAAAAAGGCCATGAAAACCTAAGAGACAGGGCCCGAGCGGATACCAAAGAAAGAGCAAGCACAGCCTGTCGGCACACGAGGCGAGAAGCCAAACACAGAGACACCGCCTCCTAGAAAATCTGTGCAAACAACTACAAAGGTGCGGTCGACTCAGATGAAGACCTGGCATCCAACACCCCTCACATCCTCCTCAAGCCATTCCAAAGACAGCTCGAGAAGGGAAAAGAAGCGCAAGTCTGAAACCAAATGCCCACAGGCGTGCAAGTCTTCCGCAACCAAAGATGACGAAAGGGAGGGAAACTGCACAAGCAGCTTCACTAGTCCAACATCCCGAGGAAACATAGGGGAGAATGAGCACGCATCAACTCTTAACCCTTAAACTGTGCATGGCGTATATATACGCCATGAGTAACGTCCCACTGTGCGCATGGCGTATATATATATGCCATAGGGTGCCAGGCACGATTCAAATGGCCCGCGGCTACACAGGGTTCACATTAGTTTCCTCAGGGCTCTTGTAAACAGATGCCATTTTTTTTTTAAATCGTGGGCAATATTCTTCGGTGTGAGAGCCACAGTACTGTTGGAGCAACCAAGACTGGTGCACGCATCATGAGCGAACAGCATTGCTGTTCAGCTTGTGACCACAGCATCACTGAAAAATGTCAAAATATATATATAACTGCTATTATTTAGCGATGACAGCATTACAGATGACCCCTGACTGTGATAAAAATGACCAGGATTGTGATAATAGCAGGATTGTTGTGATAATTAGCACTGTGGGAGGAGTGATGCTGAGGGACAGAGGGAGACAGCATCGTTTACTGACTGTGTGGCCACCTGTTATTGTCTGCATTCACCATACCAGCTCAGTGGTTCTCTATGGTGAACACAAATGTAGATACTCATATATAATGTGTGTATTAGTGTAATACCAGCAAAAGGATTATGTTAGGAGGAGCCATCTGGGTGACGGAGGTGGCGTCGTCTGCATGACTTGTCTAGCTGTGTAGAGGGTGGCCACTATGCTCTTTGGGCACCCAAAGAGCATAGGTGTACAGTTACGGTGCAAACAGCATGTAGATACTTATATATAATGTGTGTAGTGTAATAACACTGCAAACAGTGTTGTTGGGGGAAAAATTTAGTACGTGTGACCTTGAATGTGTGAGGGAGGCAGCCGCCAGCTGACTATGTGTAGCGATGTCTCTTAGTGCCTGAACTAACTATATGAGCTTAGTTGAACAGTTGTGTTGAACAAAACATGTAGATACTTATATATAACGTCTGTATATAGTGAATAAAATAAAAAACAGGATGGTGGGAGGAGAAAGTGGGCGAGTGACGCGTTGTTGAGGGAGTGGCTGGCTGTGTGTGGCGGTCACTCCTCGTTGCTTTTCGACTCACAATACCAACTTAGTGGTTTGTTATGGTGAACAAAGCATGCAGATACTTATATATAAACTGTGTATAGAGTGTAATAATAGCAAAACTATTTGTTTATTGTTTTATGAACATAATAATCGAATCACTAATATGCACACCATACTTTTGAGTATTGAAATGATTCACCCCCGTTTATTATATAAATATATCACAATACACACTATTGAATAATATTACTGCAAAAAACTAAGAAAAAATCAATCAGAAACATTGAAATAATTAGGTAATAATATCTTTGTGGCAACTCCCACCTGTCAGCTCGGGTGACGCTGACCAGCTCTGACGACCGCTCTGTCAACGCCCACATTTTGCCAGACTTCCTCGGCCTATTGCGCCCAAAATATATCCCCTATGATTTTTTTTATTTTTCCCGTGCTCAGGGAACACAAATTACATTTTTAGAAGACGAAAAAATTGTTTAGAATTTTTTTTCTTGCGCACAGGGGTGTAAATCTCCTTAGAAACCCTTAGCAGCTTAACCCTTAAAGTGCGCATCACGTCATATGACGTGCTGGACATTGTTCCAGTAAACTGCGCATCACGTCATATGATGTGTTGGAGTACTACGCAAGATTTAAAAAGCCCGCGGATACACGGGGTTCACCACACCTTCATCAGGGCTCTTGTAAACAGACGCCATTTTTTTTAAAAATCGTGGGCCAATCTCCCGGGTGTTATTGGCCTCAGTATTGAGTGAGCAACCAAGCCTGACGCACGCAGCATGAGCTAACAGGACTGCTGTTCAGCTTGTGACCACAGCATCGCCTAAAAATGCCAAATTATACTTGTTCATGCTATTATGTAGCGATGATATTATTACAGAAGACCCCTGACAGTGATAAAACTGACCAGGGTTCTGATAATAGCAGGATTGTGGTGATATTTAGCGCTGTGCGCCATGGAAGGAGGTGTAATACTGTGGGAGGGAGGGTGGTGGCGATGTCTTTTGACTGTGTGTGGCCACCTTTTATTGACTGCACTCACCATACCAGCTTAGTGGTTC